AGATGAGGGACATTACTCGGAAAACCCGTGTCCCCATATTATTTATGAGTGTTACTCGGAAAACCCGCACTCTTGCAAACAATATTATTCTTTGTCAATAGAGAAAAGAAACGAACGTCGAACACATGGTTATACGACAAATATTTTTTCTTCCTCTCCAATTTTCTGATACATACATGTCCGATCATACATACATCAGATAGGTGCATTTATTTTAAAACAAACAAATGAATATGTAGATTACGATTTTCGAATTAGAGTGTATTTTACTTACCATAGACAACAATCGAAGATCTTATTATTGACCTTATCTTCATAGAAGACAATAACTATTGATTGATTAGTTTAAATTGAGCATATATTCACGAAAATATCTCGTACTTATGTGAAACATAATATAGGTACTGTATAATTACTAAAAATTTTGTTTCTCATCAAAAACAATATTTACAATAATTTTTTCAATAAATGCTGTCTAATTGGTTAACATTGTATGCTATTTTTCGGATCGACGTGGAATTTTTTTTAAACTGTTTTTTTTTACCATTTTGTAGAGGAGAAAAGGTTGTACAACATATGTGAAATTCAGCATGGTGTCTTTTAAAATGACTGAATGGCAGCTGATATACTGAAGATAGTTGACACATTTTTTACTCAAAAAATTGTCAATTTTAGACAGTATTTGAGAAATAACTCTCGATCACCACATTGAAATATAATTTGTAAATAGGTTATTTTGTTCAGCTTTCAATGCTCTATCTTTTGGTATATTACACGAAGAATTTCATCAATTTAATGTTATCGAAAAAATCTCCACTTTATACGAACGATTTTTGATGATATTTTTCAAATATCATTGTGAGCGTTCGACAGTAAAATCTAGCTAACTTTTCACCAGCTCATCCAAATGCGCTAAAAATTGGGATTTGGGGGTTTTCGATGATGCTGAACAAAATGAGAATATTAAATCAAAAAAAAATTTTTGACGAGTGCTTCGATCTCTTGATAGCCTCATGGGTGCTGTCTTAAAAGAGTTTTTTTTTTACTTTTTTTTACATGGGATCCTCCGAGATATTCACACTCCAATTTCAACTGATTCAACGATCTCTGTATATGCAAAGTTCAACAATTTTCACATATTCAAAATTTTTTCATCAAGTAGCTGTAGGAAGTAGGATTTCATTATTTAGCCTATTACTTACTGGTACTAGTGGTAGTAGTTTTTGTCGTTGTTGTTGTTGTTGTTGTGGTTGTTTGCGTAGTAGACGTTGTCGTTGTTGTTTCTGTAGTAGTGGTTGTTGTTGTTGTGGTTGTTGACGTGGTGGTGGTTGTTGTTGACGTGGTGGTGGTTGTTGTTGACGTGGTGGTGATGGTTGTTGACGTGGTGGTGGTTGTTGTTGACGTGGTGGTGGTTGTTGTTGACGTGGTGGTGGTGGTTGTTGACGTGGTAGTGGTGGTTGTTGAGGTGGTGGTGGTGGTTGTTGAGGTGGTGGTGGTGGTTGTTGACGTGGTTGGGGTGATGGTTGTGGTTGTGGTTGTGGGTGTGGTTGTGGTTGTGGTTGTGGTTGTGGTTGTGGTTGTGGTTGTGGTTGTGGTTGTGGTTGTGGTTGTGGTTGTGGTTGTAGTTGTAGTTGCTGCTTTAGTTGTTGTTGTTACTGTTGCTCTGCCTAACATCAATTACAAATAAGAAATCTAACATTTTGCAGAACAATTCGTTCGCATTTAAAATAACAATAGAAGCCTCACGAAATAATTTTGCATGATACAAATTTCAAAAGAATGCCCCTGTCATAAGGAACGTTTACTAGTAGGGATTGCTGTTATAGTGCTGGTACCAAGGACACAAAATGCAGCACAAGGTTCTTTTGACGGTGAGTCTTTATATGGGTATGAATCTGCGGAGCAGTGAAAATAACGCTCACGCACCCACGCCTTCAATCAACACTCATATTCAAATCAATATTTCTCACTGCATGTCGGAACTGATAGAGCAATAGAAATATTGCATTTTTTTGTCACAACAGGATATCTACAAACACATGCATCGCTCGAACAGACAGGACTATTGCAATCCGATGATTGTATGCACTGCTTTCGATCGTCAAATTTGTGGCTTGCTACACATGAACCTGCACAGTCAACATCGGTCTCCCGTTGATTTTGCGAAACTCAGATATATGCTCGAAGAAAATAGTGAGTGTAAGCTTAATGCTTTGGGGACCCAGGCCATATATATGTGGTTTGGAAATTCCAGCAGAAATTTTAAGTCTTTGGATTTGTTAGAGTAGATTCTTCGAGTGTTTTATTTCTTTTTTTATATTTCAAAGTTCTCTATTTGTGTCGTTGCAGTAAGAGAAAGTATTATAACTATGGCAGCTAATACTTTTCAGTTTATAACTGATTCTGATGGTACAACTTCGTTTCCTATGTTGAAAAAAGTAAGCTCTCAAAGGGTTAAATCGAGATTTTTTTGGCACTTTACCCTCAATAAGATCCGAGTGACTGGTGATTAGATGAGAAAATCCAGAGATCACTCGGTATGCTTTCATAGCAACGTGGGAGAGGGGAAAAGGCTGACGATGATTGGATCCATTTTCCTAGTGACGACAGATGGAAGGTTAATGACAATTGGATAAGTTTTCCTAGCAAAGCGAAAAGGCGCGTCAGTAAGAACAGTGCTTTGATCATTCTGAAAGGATGGGGGACGTTTTCCGTGCATTTCGGCCCCATTACAAAATGAAGGCAGATTTACCTGAAACTTTCAGCAAATATTCAACTTTATGTTAGTAGTCATCACTCAAAATTTCAGCTCGATCCGATAAACTTTTCCTTTACTTCGACACATCAAAATCCTAGATCTAAATCTACGTAAAAATACCCTAGAGAGGTGAGATTCTGGACCTCCGTTCTCCACTATCCGATTCAGATCCAGACTGATTTTTCTAGGATCACTAGAAATCATTGAGGGCTACAATATTGCAAGGACATGAGGCCCAAAAAAAACCTGCCCTGGTATCACTATGAAGTAGACAGCCCCAAAAATTCATGAAAAAGTCCAACAGAGGTAACCTTGTTGATCTTCGTTCTCCACTATATAATTCAGATCCAGAGTGATTCTTGTAGTGCTACTGGGAATCATTGAGGGCTACAATATTGCAAGTACATGAGACACGAAAAAAATCTGCCCTGGTATCACTATGAAGTAGACAGTCCCAAAAATTCATGAAAAAGCCCTACAGAGGTAATCCTGTGGACCTTCGATCATCACTATACAATTCAGACCCAGAGTGATTTTTGTAGGATCACTGGAAACTATTGAGTGCTCCGACATTGCAAGGACTTGAGGCCCAAAAAAACCTGCCCTGGCATCAATATGAAGTAGACAACCCGAAAAATTCATGAAAAAGTTCTATAGAGGGAAACTTATGTATCTTCGTTCCCCAGTACGTGAGTCTCACGCAGAGTAGTTTTCAGGATTACTGGTAATCAGTATGCACTATTGTATCGCACATCCTTGAGGGTGAGTAAAAGCTGCCGAGACAACATGATGAAGTATATAGGATTTAAATTGGAAGTAAAAATTATCATAGAGGAAGCATTGGATATCTTTGTCCTGCAGTATTGGAATCCGACTTCGAAATATTTTTCTAGGAGCTGTCGGAATGTTAAGAACGTTCGATACCGTAAATCAGTAACTAAGCGAACTATGTAGATGTCCACTGTGTAAGGAAGGGTGTGTTTAGTTATCATCAGGGTGCACTACTTAGTGTCATTAGAGGATTATCAATCGTAGTACATTGTACGGGGTTTCAAGTACTCGGTTGGTTTATGTATCAATCGAATTCGGATGCTATTTGATCAATCCGGTCCAAACCATAATATTTTTGTACGCGATAAGAGTGAGGCTGACTGTTGAAGTTGATTCACGCGAATGAGTATGCATATGGATCTTTTCTATCACTACAGGAACACCAACTCCACACTCACCCTACGTCGAGACCAACACCCACATCCAGAAAAGTCACTCCACGTTTGAATCAAATAGTGGAGAACGAAGATCCACAAGGTTACCTCTATAGGGCTTTTTCATGAATTTTTGGGGCTGTCTACTTCATAGTGATAACAGCGCAGATTTTTTTTGGGCCCCATGTCCCTGCAATATTGTAGCCCTCAATGATTCCAAGTGATCCTAGAAAAGTCACTTTGGATCTAAATCGTATAGTGGAGAACGGAGATCCACAAGGTTACATCTAGAGAACTTGTTCATGAATTTTTGGGACTGTCTACTTCATAGTGATACCAGGGCAGATTTTTTTCATGTCTCATGTCCTTGCAATATTGTGGACCTCAAAGATTCCCAGTGAACCTAGAAAAATCACTCTGGATCTGAATAGTATAGTGGAGAACGGAGATCCACAAGGTTACCTCTGTTGGACTTTTTCATGATTTTTTGGGGCTGTCTACTTCATAGTGATACCAGGGCAGGTTTTTTTTGGGCCTCATGTCCTTGCAATATTGTAGCCCTCAATGATTTCTAGTGATCCCAGAAAAATCAGTCTGGATCTGAATCGGATAGTGGAGAACGGAGGTCCAGAATCTCACCTCTCTAGGGTATTTTTACGTAGATTTAGATCTAGGATTTTGATGTGTCAAAGTAAAGGAAAAGTTTATCGGATGGAGCTCAAATTTTGAGTGATGACTACTATCATAAAGTTGAGTATTTGCTGAAAGTTTCAGGTAAATCTGGCTTCATTTTGTAATGGGGCCGAAATGCACGGAAAACGTCCCCCGTCCTTTTCTAGAATCTTGTAACGCACTCTATGGATCTAAGATTTCTACTGTAGATTCGAACTAGAATAACTACTTAGGACAATCCAAAAGTAGTGACCCAGATACCTTATTTTCGTTTAGAAGACTTGAAGAAATTTTCTTTTTTTATGAGATGATAGAGTAAGTGAAGCTCTATTTTCCCATGCTATTTCATCACTCTTCAACTGATATCATAATAATAAAATTTCGATAAGAACTTTTTTTTTGTGTAAAACTTCACTAATGGGTGAGGCAGATAAATACGCTTTGCATTTCGATTTTCAATCAGGTAATAGGTTGTATTAAAAACCAAAATATGTCATAAGATGCAGCGTGAAAAGCTCTACAATTTTTAAAGAACAGCTTATTTTATATATGAAATAAGAAAAAAAATGATTTTTCGGGGCCTGGGAAAATTGGTCGCACAGAATTTTCGTTTCTTTGAAAACAAGAAGTACACAATTGAAATAAGCTTTACTTTGTACATCGTAGAGCTTTTTACGCCCCATCTTGTGATGTATTTTGTTTTTTTAATAAAAGATACCAGCGGACAAAAAGATGAAATAAGAAAAAATGAATTCCTCTTGTACCAAAAAATATCATTTTCGCACGGTCGAAAATTGGTTGCTCAAAATTTTGTTCATTTTGAAAACAAAAAGTGCAACTATAAAATAAGTGGTCGTATGTAAATTGTAAAGCTTTTCACGTTGCATCTTGTGGCATACTTTGTTTTTTGATACAATGTATTAAGTGATTGACACATTTAATCTGCCTCACCCGTTAGTGAAGTTTTACACAAAAACAGTTCTTGTCGAAATTTTATTATTATGATATTAGTTGAAGAGTGATCAAATAGCATGGAAAAATAGAGCTTCACGTACTCTATCATCTCATGAAAAAAGAAAATTTCTTCAAGCCTTCTAAACGAAAATAAGGTATCTCGATCACTCCTTTGGGATTGCCTTAAGTATTATGGGTTTTCGTAATTAATGCACCGAAAGATCTTATTGTAGATATCAATCAGTAGAACAGTGGCCTTATTATCTAGCATAGTTAGAAAAGCATTGATATAGAAAAGTATGAATTAATTTAATTCCAAATTCAGGGAAAACTCAACACTAGATGCCATAGTTTGTTGAGAGAAACGATGGTATACTCGAAAGCTTATCGAGCGCTTGAATCAATTTGTATAGGAGACTAATGTAGTAGTTGAACTGACGAAACATAGAATAAAATGATATTTTCTACGTCCAATGGCATGTATCATATATATTTTCATGAGAAGAAAAACAAGTTATGTATTAAAGATGTATCAGCCAATAAAAACAGATTTCTTTTTTAGTATAACGATGTTAAATGAATCTAATAAATTGATAGAATAGTAGTTCTAAATGCAATCATTTTCGAAATGATAAATATTAAAACCCTTTTGACAAAATACCATAAATTTAAAACAGTTAGAGCTCATGGGTTTCACTCTTCGGCACCTTATGAAACCACACTGACAAGATTTTAATACGATCTCTACATGTCGCAATTATGAAAACAAGACGTACGCTCCGTTTCTAGAGAGATTAAGTACCTACCAACACATCGACCGTTTAAGCAGACATTGCTTTTGCAATCTGATGGTACCTTACATATCTGCCCATCATCACACTTGTTTCCAGAAACTGCACATTTACCACCACAGTTAACATCGGTCTCATCTCCATCTTTCACACAATTATTACAGGTTAAAGCTATAGGAGCAAGAGAAGTGTTCCATTTTTTGACAGAATAAGATACTTACGGAGACATCGACCGTTTGAACAGATGTTGCTTTTGCAATCTGAAT